ATACCCTGGAAATTCAACTCTTTTAAGATACATTGTTCCCTAAGAAGATTGCAAAAAGCGGCGGAACAAAGTTTAAAGGGAAAGGTTTTTTTTTCCACTCTCCTTCCCTATGGAAATAGCAGAAGGAAATCGGAAAAACCCGTCTTGGCAACAGAAGGTAATTAAATTTGAAAAATAAAAGGGGGTATTAAAGATTTCTGAATACTGGAATTAAAGATTTAAAACTTCTTTTTTTGCTATAAGTGGGAAGAGAGAGATAAAGAACCTATATTAAGACTTTGCTGGAAGAGATTGCTTCGAGCTTTTAAGACTAGAGATAAACTGTAATAAGACTTCAAAAAAATTCATTTTGGAACTTTGCAATTGATTCTACCCCAAGAAGAGAGAGTACAAAAAGAAGAAAGTGCTAAACGAAACAGTTTGTGTTGATTAGGGTTGCTTGGTGACTTTGGGACTTTTGGAATCTATTTTTTGAAAGACTAATAACTTTTGGGTTGTTTAAAAAAAAAACTTCACAATGGCATTATCTGTGGAAGAATTGAAAATGGAATTTCAAAAGTTAAGAGAAGGGGGTTTCCGGTTTGTCAGGCTTCGGAGGCAGCAGGAATTCACGTTTGTGCGCAATCCCTGCTGCGCTCGCTGCTGGAGTGCCTTAGATCCAATTGCATTAGGAAGCTATAGTTATCCTGTAGGGATAACTGAAGAGAGGGGAGATCCGGGCAGGGGTCGGGGGATATCGCACCCCCCTTTCCCAGCCAGCTTAACTCCCTTTTCCAAAGGTGGTGGAGCGATGGTCAGCAATGGCCGTCACAAAGAATCTCTCAGCCAGACAAGTTGTGTGCAGGAGGAAGTGAAGACAGAGAAAGCTTTTGGCTGAACCGGGACGACAATTAACATCTGAATACCCTGGAACTTTGGCCTTTTAAGTGATATATTGTTTCCCAGAAGATCGTTAAGCTAAGGTGGAAAGTAAAGGGAAAGTTTTTTTTCTCCTCACTTTCCTTCCCACGGAGACAGCAGATGGAAATCGGAAATACCCGCTTTGGCAGCAGAAGGTACTAACTTTCAAAATTGAAGCCAAGGGGACAAGGGGGCATTCTAAACACTGATATTTAAAAATTAAAATCTTTTTGCTTTAAGTGGGAAGGAAGAGGTAAATGATTTATACTAACGTTTGTTGAAGGAGACTGCTTGGAGTTTTATAAGATTAGAGATTAAATCACAATAAAACTTCCAAAAAATACCTTGGAATTGTGTAATTGAATTCTGCCCCAGGAAGAGAAAGTAGAAGAAAGTGAAACAGACTGTGCTGATTGCGCTGATTTTGATTGCTTGATGACTTTGGGACTTTAACTATCTTTTGAAAGACTAAGAAAACATTTGGATTGTTTAAAAAAAAAATTTTTTTTCACAGTGGTATCTGTTGAAGAACTGAAAATGCAATTTGAAAAATTAAGAGAAGAGGAAGAAGAAGGCAAGGGTTCTTTTGGATCTATCCTTTGCTTTTTAGAAATGGCGATTTTTACTTATCAGGAAATGCAACAAGAAAAAGGCTGGGATGATGAAGAAGAAGCCATCTTTAATGGACATATGATTTTAAAAAAGGGTAAAAAGAAGAAGAAAGTGAAGAATTTAAGTTCTAAAAAAACAACCAAGAAAGGGGAAAGTAAGGTGAAAAATCGATATAATGACAGAAAGCAACAGAAAAGAGGAATACAACAGAGAGGGGAGACTAAAAGGCTGGAGATTGAGAGGGGGGGGGTAAAAAGGTTAGATTTGACAAGGAAGGAAGGGAAAAAGTGAAGGGAAGTTATAAAGGCTTAAAACAAGATGCTAATAAACAGGTTTTTTTTCAGAGATAAATGGTAAAACATAATCTAAAAAGAGATTCTGCAAAAGTACACAAGATTGTATTTTAGTATTTGTATTTGAAATATGTGTTAATAGAATATTGTAGGGAATGTGTAATTAATGTGTAATTAGTTTAATTAACTAATTTGCTATGGAACATTATTTTTAATATACTATAAGATCATTATGTTTTATATTTTAAAATGTTATGTAGAATGTACTAAGCAGAATCAGAATAAAAACTACATATTATTTTAAGTGTTAAATCTGGGGGGAAAATAGAAAGGTGTCATACTTTAACCAGTGATTACAGGAAAAAGTTTGTGTTAAAGAGAAAGATAAATGGATAATTGAAAAAGAACAGACAAAAGATACAAGTATAATGATTTAAATTGAGATTAAAAAAATAAAATAGAATTAGGAGAGAGAGAAAAGAGGGGAGAAGATATATGGAAAATATAGAATCTTAAATAAGATATGAAATAGTATATAAGATGAGCATGAATTTGATTTATGTCTGTACAAAAAGTTATAACCCGGGGTTAAGCCACTTTCTAAAAAGAAGTTTTATGTTTTTATGTTATGTATTTTGTTAGCTTATGTTTGTTTATTGAGGAGTAATGATGTTGGATAAGAACATATGAAATAGTAATAATATGAAATATAGTAATATGAAATACATGAAAGTATAAGTTTAATGAATAAAATTGAACAGAAATAAAGGAAGAAACAGTGAGAAGTTGGAAAACAGTAATAAGATATTAAGTTGAATATATAAGATGCATATTAAATTGTGTGTGGAAACGTGATAATTTAGAACTATGTTGTACTTAAATGAGATGTCTTATTTGTTTTGTTAAGCAGTTTTTAGAAAAGATGTTCTATGTTCTTATGTTTTATGTTTTGTTTGTCTGTGTATTCTCTTTGAAAATTAATAAAATTTGTAAAAAAAAAAAAGTTAAGAGAAGAGGAACAAGAAGGGAAGGGCTCGTCTGGATCTGTTTTCCACTTTTTGGAAATGGCGATTTCTACTTACCAGGAATTACAACAACAAGAAAGCTGGGATGAAGAAGAAGAGGCCATCTTTAATGAACAAATAACTTTAGTTGAGGAAGAAAAGGGAAAGAAGGGAAAGAGAATGGAGAATTTAAGACTTAAAAAAACAATCCCAAAAAGGGAAAACAAGGTGAAAAATCAATACAATGTCAGAAAGCAACAGAAAAGAGGAATACAACAGAGGGGAGATTAAGAGGGTGGAGACTAAAAGATGGGGGGGGTAAAAAGGCTAGATTGGACAAGAAAGGAAAGGAAAAGGGGAAGAGAAGTCATAAAGGCTTGAAACACGATGCAAAAAACCAGATCTTTTTCAGAGACAAAGGGTAAAATATAAATTAAAAAGAGATTCTGCAAGAGCACATAAGATTGTATTGTAGTATTGCACTTGAAAGAGAGTTAGAAAATTGGAACATATGATTTAATAAAATATTAAAGGGAATATGTAAAATGTTTAAGATTTAATGATAGAGTTTAATTTGCTTTGGATTATTGTTTTAACTATATTATAAATGGTTCCTACTTATTTTAAAATGTATGTAGAATGTACTAAGCAGAATCAGAATGGAAATTATACATTATTTTAAGTGTCAAATCCAGGGGAAAGATAGAATAGTTTGTGTTTATAGAAGAGAGTAGAGACCAAGATGGTGGAGATTAAGAGATGGGGGGGGGGGGCGTAAAAAGACTAGGATCACAAAAGAGATTCTGTAAAAGTACATAAAATTGTATTTTTGTATCTTTAATTGAAATAATGTCAGAAAATTGGATCTTTATATGATTTAACAAAATACTAAAATGCATAAATAATAAAGTTTAATATACTATGGATTATTGTTTTAACTATATTATAAATTTATTATTTTTTTATCTTAAATTATTGTAGGTAGTTTTAGAATGTGCTAAGCAGAATCAGAATGAGAATTATATATTATTTTAAGTGTTAAATTTAGGGGAAAAATATAAAAGCGTCATACTTCAATTAGTGATTACAGGAGAAATATTGTGTTAATAAGAAAAGAAAAATAGATGATTACAGAACGGACAAAAGATATCAGTATAATGATTTAAATTGAGATGAAATAAATAAAATAGAATTAAGAGAGTGAAAAGAGGGGAGAAGCCATATAGAAAATATGGAATGATAAGTAAGATATGAAGTGGTATATAAAGTGAGCATGAATTTGATTTATGTCTGTACCAAAAGATGTAACCCGGGATTAGGCCGCTTTCCAAAAAGAAGTTTTATGTTTTTATGTTTTGTTTGTGTATGTTTGTTTATTGAAAATTAATAAAATTCTTTAAAAAAAATCAATCTAACTCTAACAGATCATTATGTGGTATCCCAAGGAAATGCTATCTATTGGAGATACCTCATTTATAAAACTAGTCATGGACAAATCAAATATCTTAAATGTATTTACCTTTAGATAGTGTATAAACCCACCCTTCCTCAAAAAATAAAGGAACATTTCCCAACTAATAGCAATATTACCATAATGAGTTTCAAGCAATAAAATCCACAGTAGACATAACAGATAAATGAAGGAGTGTGGTTACAAAATCATGGGCATGACAGGTTGAGGTACCTATACACTTGATATAAGAAGATGCAATGACGAATAGTCGTCACTAACACGTCCCCGCTATCACGTCTCTTCACCTCTTCTGGTCCAGTTTAGTTCCAAAACCTAGAGATTAGGGATTCATGTGGCTTAATGAGCCGGATAGAAAGCAAATAAATAGTCCTAAAAATATAAAGCTGAACCTGTCGCCGCTCACCCGTCGCTCTCGGGCCTTTGGAGCAAAGCGCGCTTTTCGCGCATAAGACCCACGCTGGTTCCGCAACGTTTCCGTTCCGGAGGCGCTCAGACGCACGGTTCCCTACCGGGTTGAAGCTCCCTTCACACCTTCATGGCTGGAGGGAAGTCTGCAATTCCGTTACCTCGCCAGTCCCTCCTTCAGTTCCTTTAATCCTTTCTGCTTTCCCTCCCGCTCGACAAAGACCACAGCCTCTAAGCATCGCTCGTTTGTAGACTAGATTGGGGGAAGGCTTAATGCTCCCTGAATACCATCCTACCCTTCGCATTTCCTACCTGCTGCCGTTGCTGGGGCAATTGCCCCGGCTGCAGCTGTTAGAGATGTTTCTTACGCCCGGCAAGAGGAAGAAGCCTCCCCATCGCCTCCCCCGTAGCAGCAGGAGACGGCTGGGGATGCCTGTCGCCGCCATAGCGAGGTCCCAGGGTGCTCAACCACGCCAGCTGCCTTTGAATCGGCCCCGCCTTCTTCCTGCGCCGCTCCGAGATGGATGTGGAGATGCTCTGCCTGCGCCGCCAGAGGCAATTATTTAGAGACCTGACCTGCGGTATTCTTTGGGGAAGGAAGGAGAATTTGTTCCCCAGAGAATGGAAGGCTGAACAGATGCAGCCCGTGAGCAAAGAGCTTTTTTAGGAAGAGCAATGAGGACCAATCGCGGAGACCCGTCTCCAAAATATAGTTTAATACTAGTATTAATTATTAATTGATACGAGGATTGTCCTTCAAGGCAGGCACATAGCATATTATCAAGAAAAGCTGCCTCCCAGCCACCTGGGATACGTTGTTTTTGTGGCAAATTAAAGCTACCATATTTGGCTTGCAATCTCTCTTCATCCCCACCCCAGTGACTGCTTCATGGCAGCAAAGACATACTGAAAAACTGTTGCTTTCCTTGTGATCTTGCCACTCAAACATGGTAACCTCCTACGTGGAGTCCTGTTAACTAGGCTGTGTATTTCAGTGGACAAAAATTGGTGTAATGTAATGGATTTAATGAACATTTTCTCCCTAAACTTTTGTTGGAAGAAATATCCTGGGTTCAGTTCCAAGTGGGGAAAATGACACTGGATTCATGGAAGTTGCTTGGAAAGAAGGTTTAATGGTGGATAGGACCACGTGCCTTGGAGCTCCTGAGCGAAAAGGGATGCTGAGTATCCCTTGGTTTCATACACTCTGTTGGGCCCCACCTTAGTGTTTCCTGTTCTTGTGCAAGAAATGTATCCCATTGGCTATCAGACTCCCAGGGGCAGGGGTCTTAGCTAACTTCGTAGACTTTGCCTGGACCACATGGCTTCATCTGAGTGCTGGCTGATGCAATCTTCCCAGGCGCCATTTGGTGAGATGGGTAATCCTATCATTTCCTGAGGGCCATGTCTTAATCCCATCAACCTGGAGCTGAAGGGGGCCAGGGAGCTGCAGGAAGCTGCTTTGTCTTTAAAACATGTTTCTCCTTTTCTCATCCAGGGAAATATAATATTTTGCCTTTTTAATACTTTCCAGAATATTTCATTCTTCTAGGAGCGGGGTGGGTGCTAAGTGTGTAGACCTTAAATCAAAAGAAATCTTTATTATAGTGTAAGAAGTTAGCATCCACCCCCTCCTAGAACAATGAAATATGCTGGGAAATATTAAAAAGGCAGAATATTTCCTCTAAAAAAGAGTAGAAACTCAGAAGCAGAAACTCACCTCAGAAGTAGAAGCTCACCCTAACCTTTGTTAATCTCACCCCCACCTTTGTTAATGGGCGGGCCATTAAGGCCTGGCCAGAATACTTTACATAACAAGGATCTCCAGGTAAAGCTGTAGCAATTGCTCAAAAGCCCTTTCAGTGCATCATCCAGCAAGGCTCAATCAAGCATGGAACTCAGGACAGCCTATAGAGTTGCCCCTGTGTGGCCCCATGGGGGTCTGACAACTAATTAGGATACAAGCTCCAATTCAAATCCCAACAGAGGGTATAAAACCCAGGCACTCTCAGCACCTCAGCCCTTTTTTCTTGATCTCTTCCTTCATCTTGAAGCATGTGATCATCCTTTTCACTCTGGAACTCCAGGCCACATGGTCCTGATATTAAACCTTCCAAACAGCCTCCATGTTTCCAGATGTCTTTTTCCCCACTTGGAACTGAACCCAGATTTCTTACAACAATAGCCAGCAGAGGGAAACAAGTATTGTAAAGGTAGTTATGGTTTGCTGTCACAATAACAACCTTGTGAAGAATTAACATCACAAGGACATATATCTGATGCTGGACACCCCAAGAGGAAAGCACATTGCCTCACCAATGTGAAGATCTGGTGAACTTCCAGGACTGTGATAAGTGAAAGGTAAGAGGCTGATATATACTCCTTTGAAAAGTCCCCACTGGCTTTGAGCCTGGGAAGTAAAGTTAGATTGATTTGTAATTCTCTCAGTTTTCACTTATTTCTTCCTTCCCTTGATGTTTTCAGTCAGGTAATTGACTGATGTTCCTAATGCTAACTGATTCTTCTATGATCATAATTTAAACTCTTTCTTTCCCTTGAACAGGGGTCTGCAACTTAAAACATTCAAAGAGCCATTTGGACCCATTTCTCACAGGAAAAAAAAAATACTGGGAGCCACAAAACCTGGATAGGCATGGCCAACTCAATGTCACTCACTCTCAGTCACATGACGCACGGCTACCCAGCCACAAACAAGGGATTTCTACTGTTTTTATTATTTTGAGCAGCTAATTTTTTAAATAGTAATTTCATTAAAAGTTACAGTTACAAATAATACAGACTAAAATAATAAATGTATAAAAAGAAATTAATTAATTACTTCTTAATGTGTAGTTTAATTCATAGACTGAGTTTATATATTGTGCATTAAGCCAAAATAGTTTGGTATACAACTTAATGCAATGGTTTTCAAACAGCACAATATCCTCTCACATAATAACATGAATTTGTGTGCGCCTTCCCAATATGACTAAAATAATTGTTTTATTTAAGTTAAAATTGGGCAAGAAGTGCGCCACTTCTAATTGTTAAATAGTTACCTGTATACTCAACAGTAATAGAATTGTACAACTTTATGAGATAAAACATTTTCATTAGAAAAAGTCCCCGAAATGTACTTTAATGGAAATTGCTTACTTTTGCATCATTTCAGAGTTCTGCATTTCATTTTGAAAAGTAGCCAGGTTATGACAGACAGACAGATAATCAGAGTTGGAAGTGACCTTGTAGTCATCTAGTCCAGGGGTCGCCAACCTTTTGGATCTCAGGGACCACCAAACTCATAATTTTAAATCCTGTGGACCAGAGATGCTTGGAAAATCCCCCTCCCCCCCCAAAAAAAAGTCTGCAGGAAAATTCCCCACCCTGTTTTCCTACGGATCAATCATTCTTTATTTGGGATTGCAGGGTACCGTCTCCAGCTCCGTTCTCAGGGGAGAGATGAGACTTTTGGCTTCATGCAAGGAAAGTAGCAGAAGTAGCAGCAGAAATCTTTCTTTCTCTCCCCCAAAGTCCGCCAGAAATGAGTCTTTGTAAGACTTGTGCCAGTGTAGTCCCTTGGAGCAGGATGCCTTGCAGAGTCCCAAAGACTAATTTCTGGCAGAGTTTGGGGGAGAGAAAGAAAGACTTTTGCTGCTTTCCTTGCGTGCAGCCAAAAGAAGAAGAAGAAAGAAACAGCCTGGTGGCCAGGTGAGGCACGTGAGGTGCGTGGGGCAAGTTCCCCCTCCACCCTTTCCCCCCCTCCCCTCACTACCTCATGTTGTTCGCAAGGCAAGCGACACAAGCTTCGTGTTCCCATGGACCATGTGGGTGGCACAGCCTTGTGTATCCACACAGCCTGGATTAATTGCTTTGGGGTGACATTTTTCTGCGGACCATCAAAATTTTCTCGTGGACCACCAGTGGTCCCCGGCCCAATGGTTGGTGACCACTGATTTAGTCCAACTCCCTGTCCAAGCAGGAGACCCTATACCATTCCTGACAAATAGCAGTCCAATCTCTTCTTGAAAGTCTCAATTAATGACGCTCCCACAACTTCCAAGGGCAAGCTATTCCATGGGTTGATTGTTCTCACTGTCAGAAAGTTTCTTCTTATTTCCAGGTTAAATCTCTCCTTGTTCAGTTTCCATCCATTATTCCTTGTCTGGCCTTTCGGGGTTTTAGAAAATAGCTTGATCCCTTCCTCTCTGTGGCAGCCCCTCAAATATTGGAAGACTGCTATCCTGTCTCCCCTGATCCTTCTCTTCACAAGACTAGCCAAGCCCAGTTCCTGTAACCATTCTTCATATGTTTTAGTCTCCAGTCCCCTAATCATCCTGATTGCTCTTCTGAAGTCTCAACTTCTTTTTTATAATGTGATGACCAAAACTGGATGCAGTATTCTAGATGTGGTCTTACTAAGGCTTTACAGTGTGGTATTAGTACCTCACTTGATCTCGATTGTATCCCTCTTTTAATGCAATTTAGGATTGCATTAGCGTTTTTGGCTGCTGCTGCACACTGCTGGCTCATATTTAGCTGGTTGTCCACTAAGACTCCAAGATCCCTCTCACAGTTATTGCTATTGAGCCTGGTTTCACCCAGTCTATACGTACTTTTGGTTTTTCTTGCCTAAGTGTAGGACTTTACTTTTCTCTACATTGATTTTCATTTTGTTAGATATGGCCCAATGTTCTAGTCTGTCAAGATCCATCTGGATCTTGAGCCTATCTTCTTGGGTGTTAGCTATTCCTGCCAGCATAGTATCACCAGCAGATTTTATAAGTTCCCCTTCTATTCCCTCATCTAAGTTGTTAATGAAGACATTGAAGAGTACTGGGCCTAAGACGGAACCTTGTGGCACCCCACTGCTTAGTGCCCTCCATGTAGACTTAGACTCATTAAGGACTACTCGTTGAGTATGCCAGCCAGTTGCGAGTCCATCTAGTGGTGGTGCTATCTATTCCACTTTTTTCTAGCTTGCCAAGAAGTAGGTTGTGGTCTACTCTGTCGAATGCCTTGCTGAAATCTAAATATATTATGTCCACAGTATTTCACTGGTCTACTAATTTAGTCACTATGTTGAAGAATGAAATAAGATTGGTTTGGCATGATCTGACTGCTAATTATTACTCTACTTGTTTCAAATTGTTATGTTTTGAATCAGTTTCTCTTTTACTGTTTTAAAATACTGCAGCTTGGAAATTGCAATCCCAGATTGTAGTTTCTGTTACTGTTGTCTCTCCTCCCTTCATTCTTGTCATTTCTTCCTCCATCACAATTCCTGTTCCTAAAGATCTTTTAAGGTTGTGACTTTCATCCTGTATCTCACAAACCCCCTGTAAATGTAAGCCACACTTGGGGAAAGAATAGCTTAGGGCAATGTTAAATTTTTGACTTATTCAGCAAATTATGGTAAACAAGCCAGTGATTTTGCAACTGTGCCAAGCAAAAATTTAAACGGCAAAACCATCTAATCTCTTTTAACCACTAGATGTCAACAGATGATTAAATAATGTGGGGATTACAAAACAGAGTTCACCTTTGGGAATCTCAGGAGCAAACGTGTTCAGAAAT